TGTTCGGACACTTTTTAGCGCGGACCCGACGTCCATATAATTGTAAGTCAATGTTTGTAAATCAATGTTCCAAGTACTTTTTTAAACGCAATTTACACCGATGATGTCATAGGGTGCGTGAGTAACATTACTAATGACATTCTACATTTTAAATTAAATAATGAATTTTATTTTCTTTATCTGTACTTTTGATATCGTTCAGAATCTTTGCTGTCCAATTTTATTCAACACGTTAAAGTATAGTTTCAATAATGGCAATGATACCTCAATCTTGCAGCCAAAAAATGTAACAACAAACAAATGCATACCATTTGTCAATGTCAGTTTATTGGTCACGTCCTTTTTTTTATCCACTAAGGTCATGTCTCAGCGCATTGTTGAGAAACACGTTCCCGTATCACCCTTAGCCCTTGACCCGTTTCCTTGCCATTTTTTATGTTCGATTTCTTAAAAAATACTTGAGAACTTATATGGCACATTACATGATTTTCTGTGTAAGTATATTGATGCAATTATTATTATCTACGCATATTGCTTAAGAGTCTACCTAGGATCTATTCTTTATTGAGGTCGAAACAATAGTAGAAATGAATAAAAATACTAGATTTAGTAACAAAAATGTTTCATTCATAGTCGAATTTCAAGTATAACATTAAAAGATTTACGAATAATAAAATACAAAATTCCTACACATAGCACTTACAAACTAGTTGTTCATACATCTTGTGATGAGCTAAACAAGGTTAGTTGTGTAATAAAGTTATTCAAATGGTTAGTAATAAGAACAGTCTTTATAAAGTACTTAATTAACATCACATGTTAGAGATTAGACTGATATTCATCATATAATAATTAATTAGTTACCTATACAAACACTTAATGCAAACACCTAAACCCGGGTATTCATTAGCGAACTGTAACGTGACAGATACAGTAACGAGGGTCTAGTACGTACGCGAGAAACAGACTTCACTCGCTAAAATGGGTACCTGGTTATCGTCGGTTCACTGCGAATTGCACGTATTCAACACGTAGGTACACTTTGATTTTTGGTAACAACATGCAACCATTACGGTTACAGCTCCCTAGTAAGTACCCGGCTTAATTGTTGGGAAAATATAGCGGGAAATTATACAACTATGAAGTTATGTGTACACAACATTGCTAATCGTAAGAAGTCAAATTACAGCCCTTTTTCGACGAAACACGCTCCTGCAATGTATATCGTATAAAGTAATAAAAAATCGTCATAATTCAACTTTGTTCTTTCAGCGTCCTTTTGTCTCTAGCCTAAAGTATAGAACTTAGATCCCACTCGTCAGTTCTCATTACGCGTTGAATACGGACGCAGTGCTGACTAGTGAGTCCAACGCAAAATGTTGTGCAGATTTGTGCGAAATATTTTTATTTAATATTTTATTAGAAACAAAAATATATTTTATGATCAATATCATAAAATATATTTTTGTT